TTATTTGACATTATTAATCAGCAGATTTAGTTTTACTTTCTGTACTTTAAATGTATTTAGAAGGGAATGAAATGTTTCACATTATATATAACAGATATTTTGTTTTGTACCACTTATTTGTGGAGTTTTGACTTGTTTTGGGATGGATAATTTGGATTGTTTGAGCTTTGTTACACTGGGCGTTTACAGCTAATCTTGTCCAGGTTTACGGTGGATTTTGATTTATGTACCGTAACAGGTGTTTTCGGTTGATACCTATTAACGATTGTAGGAATTGAGAGTTACGGTGATACAATTAGAGGAGGATTATTGGAGCCACCGTTAGAATTAACCGGGACAGTAACCAAATGTTCGCGTCGTTTGCTTTCAGGCTTGCATTGAGGTGATTGAGATGATGCACAAGTTTGTGGGCTTAGTAATCTCCTAAATCCTCGAGGGATTCAATGGATTTTGGGAGGAGAGGTTCGGGGGGAAGAGGATGGAGGGATAGAGGAAGGTGGTTGAATAGGGGAAGGAGGATGAGGGATATGTAGGGATTTTGAGGATGAATCTATTTGGGAATATAGGAGATTTAGTCTTTCTTGAGGAGACGTTCTATGTTTGTAAAGGATTTCAGCCTGTTTGAAATAAACTTTTTCGTTTTTTCGAATGTTTTCAATTTTCTTTTCAATTAATCAAGGTTTTTAGTTGAGATAAAAAAAGTCAGTTTCACGAGCCAATTCAGTTTAGTCAGAAGAATGTAAATGGAAAATCTGTTTAGTGACCGCTAGTTAAAAAACCATTTTCATTTTCAAGAAAAACATTTTCTTTATCGTGCCAACGTTTTTTCACATCCTCCATGTATTTGTAAAATTTAAACAATGTTCATAAATCCCAGGCCCTGAAGATGATCTCAATAAAGATCGAAACGTTGGCAGGATAAAGAAAATGTTTTTCTTGAAAATGAAAATGTTTTTTTAACTAACGGTTACTAAACACCACACAGGTAAAAGGGCGCACCGTGATCTGAAGGAAGTCAAAAATTATTTTTTCAGGAATATCATGTTTTTGGAAAGAAATAAAGTTGGGGTGGAAACAGATTTTCCATTTACATTCTTCTTAATATCTTTCAACTTCAACGCCTTAAGATTCGTCATTATTTCTATTTCAGAGCAATGTAACAATTCAGGAATGTACGTACACAACGACGCCCTTTGAAAAATTTATTGTGCGATGAAGGGTGAAATTCACGTTTGTATATATATTTTACGATGGTTCCCAACGGCAGAGGTCATATCAACCCTCAGGGTGCCGGTGTTTTTGAAAAAAGCCCATTTGTAAGTATGTCGGGTTCGAAGCGGGGCCGCTGGATTCCAACTCGGTTCCTTTACCTTACAATCATGAGCGCCGTGCCAACGCCACCGATGCCGCCACCGACGCCCCCACGCTTATATTTTCATAGGTTTTAATATTTTGAAGGTTTAATTAATCGTTTTCACAGTTAATGTCAAGAAGGATAGTTCCATTCCTGAAAAATTTTAAGACTTTATAACTCTCTGTAACTCTTTATAAACCTGCATACTTTAAATGGGCTGGAATTATTGAAAGAGATGTCTTCAGATTCTAGGGACATAACCAAGAATTTTCTGCACCATTTTCCCATTATATTTAAGTTGTTTGGTGGGTCAGGGGGCTTCGCCTCGAGAGAAAAGTTCATTTCATTCATGTTTCGCAAACTCTAATACAAGTTTGTAAACTTGTATTTAAAAATAAAAAGTTAGGAAAATATCAAAAAGCATAGGACAAAATTATAAAAAAAAAATGTACTGGAAATAAAATGAATGCTCCCTGAGAAAAATATTTAAGTTAAATAGTTAGCGAAATAAATGAGTTAATTCTTTGGAGAAATAAAATGATGTTGACTGCTCAAAGGTTCATACAAGAAATTTATAACTTTGAATAGACCCATAATGATAAATTGCGAATGACGGCATAAAATAACCCAGATGGAGACAATCTCGTGTTATGTAATGCCATTCTTCATCCGGGTTTTACGTTCCACGTGTAGCTTTAAAAAATTATTTCTTTATTTTTATTTTTTATAATGAGTTTAGGTTCTCCCATTACCCATGCGCAAAAAAAGAATTGATCATGTTTATTCTTATTTGACATACCAAGTGGAGTGATTCACTTATTTGAAAAAGTGTACAAATTGAATATATCTTTATTTTTCTCTCGCAATGTTGTCCTCTACCTCGAATCCTATCCAAGCTGCCTCCTACATCCAAGAACCCTGAGCTTATCGAAGACTGGTGCAAAAAGTGGAGGACAAGACTGAATGAAGAAAAATATACTCAATGTACTTTCACATTGAGAAAACAGACTTGCCCTCCATTGTACATCAACAACAAAGAGATACCACTTCCATTCAAGTCAAATACTTGATTCAAATACAAGTACCTAGATAGCACACTGACATGTAATCCCCATACATGTTTTAAGAGACAGCAACTCACTGGAAGACTTGGACGGCTACGAAGACTTCTAGGACCAAAATCTGCCTTGACCGTCAAAACTAAACTAACGTTATACGAGACCTTACTGCGACCAATTGGGACATATCGAGTGGAACTGTGGGGGTTCTGCCAATCAATCCAACATCCAGCGCATCCAATCCTTCCAATCAAAAGTCGTCAGACAAACTGTCAAAGCTCCTTACTACGTTACGTCACTAACCGTACTATCAACGACGACCTCAACATTCCTTTTGTCAACGAAGTGATCCGTTCCCGATTCCAAAAGTTTCACATCAACCTCTTGATCCACCCTACCCTACTGCCGGAGTTCTCTCTGTACAATTCCCATCCAGAGAACCCGTGTCACGTTGCCTTAATCGACGATGGCCTCGCGACCTCCTCCCCTTAATGCCTCACATTGAGTGCCAGCATTGACTCCTTTCTCATGGCACGTGTCCTCCGGGTGCAGCGCTATCATTAGCGTTAGTGTTGTGACCGTGTGAAAAAAAAAATTGAAATCACATTTGTAATATGATCTGATTCTGCAGATTAGATTTTAATTCACCTCGCATTGTTATTTACCTTAAAAAAGTAAATATCCATTTTTTTCTTGGTTTAAAGCAGGAAATGAAAGAATTATCGACCACGAATGTTTAGTCATCTTTTATAGAATCAATCCTTGTTCAACATTGGTTTGTTTATAATAATTGTACGGCACTTTATTTTGTTTATAATTATAACTCGTTCAGATAAAAATTGTTCAGATAGGAGCCGGAGAGCTCTAAACAACGTGTATGACTCAACCTTCTTTGGCTATGATTCTTTCTTTGAAAAGATTCATAGCCCCAGAAATAAGTCAGATATTATTGAAGAAGAATAAACAGTGGAATATGTTCTCTGTTGGTGTGAAGGCCTATGCTGGCTGAGATCCCTACTCGTGGGAAAGGAAAAGCCAAAACCACAAGGATTTTAGCAAAGCTTTGGGATCTGATAAAAAGCCTTAAGCTTAACGAATAGTTCTAGGCAATGACGAAGATTGCACAGACCAATATTGGTCCTCAGAATAAGGCCATGTTCATACCATTTTGTATCACTCACTCTCACACAAAACCAACTTCCTATACTTCTTGACCAAATTCTTTAAGTACAGGGCATCTCGCTAATAAGTGTGGCATATCTTCTTTTTAACGAGTGTTGCATTCGTTCGTTTGAGTTTATCACTGCTACACTTGAAAATAATTGATTTTTTTAATAACCTGGGTTTGTCATTTATGTATGATGATATATAGTTGGACTCGCTAATCGTGATGTCTGTTGGAGTCGCACTCCAGCTTTATGACTCATTGGTTGAGTCTAACTGCATTTATGAGTTTTGTAATGTCTCTTTTTCCTAAGTGGTATACTATACAGTCCAATAAACTTGGTGAAACCTGCATATTAAATTTAGACATTATTACTATGAATAAGTGAAACAGAAGTTGAGAGAAGAAATTTGAAAGCTTTGAACCCCTTTTGTTCAATAACCAGTAGAATTCCTTTTGAGTTAATGATAGCAAGATAAAGGTGAGATGACTGAGTCAATGAGGAAAAATTATGTAAGGTCTAGGCAGTTTAAAAAAACACTACAAAGAAATGTTTACAAAGGCAGACCTCTAATTAAAAACGCTATTATTCTTTACTTAAAAAAAAAAGAAGAAAAAAAAAGAGGAACGTAATGTATACCGTATAACAAAATACCAGATTGAATAATCATGACAGTTTTAAGTTTAAATAAACAAAAGACCCTTGGCGATGCAAACTGATATTTGTATTTACACCAACTCAAAATCATATATTTGTTGTGACAACATGATCAAATTTAAAAGTTGTAAAGTGGTAGTAGAACCAACAAGGTTAAGTAGAACTTAAAGTAACAAGAAATTGAAGATACAAAACATATTGTAATTTGCCATATTTTAAAGCCTTACAGAATAAAACCTTATAAGAAAGATAAATTAATGGAACTTTACTATTTAGGAAGTTATGAAGTGGGGGGTTTTTGTATTCCACAAACATTGCAGCCTTCTGGCTTAATGTACTTTTCCTACTTTCATAGTTCACTTCAATTAAGTTGATCCTTCTTTTAAGAAGTAGGTTATTGCTGCAACTCTTCTTGCTGGGTCTTCGTGGTACTATAGGTGGTCTCCATTGAGTAGTTGCTTCACATTTGAAGATAGTATAGGTGACGGTTTCTTCCTCCTCATTAAATAGCCTACAAATGAAATCATTATTAGATATACCTATGTTATACAGGTGTTTTCTCAGATGCCAGTGACCAGCTTATATCCCTATTGCTCCTCTGAGTTATACCCAGTCTAACTGTAGCAATGTGTTTGCCAGTTTTTGTGAAATTTCAAGTTTAAAATATGTATATTTTTTATATAACACACAAACTTCTTGCACAAATTTCAATTTTTCAGCACAGTGTAAAGAACTTTTATGTTTACATTATTATTTAATTCACAGAATGGTGAAGATGAGTTCATCAGCAACTATTATCCTTCCACTAATTTGGGTTCAGCTATGACCTTCAGTTTGGACAACCCATATCCAGAAAACAACTGCCTGATTTCGACGAATCCCCTCCTCTCAGATTCTGTTGAACCGACTGATAATCGCCAGGATTTAAATAATAAACAAGGTAGTCATGAGCTACAAAATGTAATAATGTTTTACTATATTTTTTGTTTTGTTTATAGATGATTTGCCCAGTGATAGCGTAGATGGCTGGAGGACAAAACCTGTAAAATTATGGGACAAAAGAGATATTGTAGAATGGTTAAATAGTGAAGCCCGACAGCTCAATATCTGTTGCACAGAAATCTGCAGCGAAAAATTTGCTTCATTTGATGGCAACAAATTTTTTCACCTTACATCTCATGAATTCAATCAGTGTGATATGAACTACGGACTTACATTGTATAAAAGACTGCAAGAAATAAAATTAACGCAAGATGAAACTTTACCTCTTAACTTTGAACAGTGTAAGTTCTCTTTAATTTTGTAACTTTTTTTTAAATAATAAAACAATTTTTCTATTTTAAACAGCTTCAGAGAGCATCAAACATGAAAACCGAGAAATAGAAGAACCAGAAAATGCACCTGTGTTAATGTGTCTAGACAAAACCGAACCGCCAAAAATAAATTACTCGTGTAACACAAGTAAACAGAATGACACAGCATTAGGTAAAGTAAATCATTCTTTGAATACCACTTGAACAGTTTTAATTTAAAAATTTTATAACATGCAACATTTATTGTAAAAGATGCAAAAATCAGTGATCCAGATTCACCTGCACCTCAACAACCAAAGCAAAAAATGAGAGGTAGACCAAAAGGACAAACAAAAAGAAAAAAGAAACCTGGTAAGTATATTGTTTTTGTATAAAGTGGCTAACTTAAACCTGTATTTACTTGTATTTAACTGATATTTAATGTTATGATTGTACTACCATTTGTGTCAAGACAGAAAAATACAAAACTAAATTAAGTGTGCCTTTATTTTTAATTATTATTTGTACTCATTGTTTTGTTTCTTTATTATTTACTTTGTTAATAACTATGTTTATTTTGTTGTTGTTTTTTCAGAAAAATTAGGTAGATTGTGGGAATTTTTAAGAGACCTCCTTAAAAACAGAGACTATTGCCCAAGCCTTATTGTTTGGGACAATTATGAAGAAGGGATGTTCCGATTTGTTCAGAGTGATAAAGTTGCCAAACTGTGGGGTACTAAAAAGGATAACCCAGATATGAATTATGAGAAATTAAGCCGTGCAATGAGGTACAGTTTAAATTAATTAAATCATGTTCAATACATCAAATATTATCAGTTAACTGTGCTCATTCTGAATTCTGACCTGATTAACCTTCAAATTTACAAATTACAAGGTATTTTATTCAAATTAACATTTTTCCCCGTTATTAACACATTAGTAACATGGATAAATTTTCGTTGGACCATTTATCATTAAGGGAGACATTAGGACATTAGGTTAGGAATCAGTTAAGGTTAATTAATCAGTTAATTAGGTTAAGTAGGGTTAGAGTTAGGGCCCACTTACCCTGCTTGCAAATATGACATGAGTAGAAATTGAAATCGCAAAGAAATTAGCTGTCATTCACTTTGCATGGATTATCATTTGACCTGTTACAATTAATTTTAAAAAATATCTGCATTTTTACATGATTTTTATTGCAAAATTGAACTATGTACCGTAAGGGGACATTTCCAGCATAGCTTCTATCAGTCCCCAGCCCTCTGATAAGGCAGAATTCTCCTGACTGAGATGAATAAGCAGATTATGCAAGTCAAGTGAAAGAAAATAAGAGGATGTTCTTCAGTTTCCAAAGCAAGCCCGATTACTAGACTCAATCAAATGCCGTTTTATTATATTTTTAAATTTGTAAAAATAACAATTTTGGTATATTAAAATAAAACTGTTGTAAAAGTAAAAATAAATCTCATTCATGTGTTTGCTTGTCTGTTTATAGGTACTATTACAAGAGCCAAGTTCTTCAACCAGTTATTGGTCGAAGGCTAGTTTATAAATTTGGGCCTACAGCAACTGGGTGGCAAGTCGATAACCCAAATTTTAAAAACAAATGATCATACTAAATTGTTAAAAGGATAATTCACAAAGCATTTAAATTTGATATATTTATTGGGTTTCAATGTTTTTTTTTTAAATTTTTATTTAGGACTCTTTGCTCATTTGCATGAAGAATTGAATTTCATTGCTCAATAAGCAAAATGAATTTTAATTGTTTTTAATATTTGAAATAATTGTCATAACTAACTTCACCACATATTATTTTTGCTAAACATGTGAATTTCAGTATATTGTGGACATCCTACCAACAAGTCATTTGGATATTGGATTTTGGGCTTTTGTTCAATGCATTATGTGAAGCGATGTTTGATCTCTGAGATGTTCATTGTTTACACTCAGTTTAATCATCCTCGATCATCCTTGTCTTTCTGTGCTCGCTGCTACATCTCAGTGTACAACTAAATCACTATAGATATATCAAACATGTGTCTAATCAAAGAATAAGTGAATCAGGATGGTTAAAGATGATCAACCTACTGACAAATCATGCAAAACCAGCACTGGATTACTTATTGGGTCCATCTTCACTTGCGGGTTTGTTGAACTAATCAAACATGTTTCAGCATCTTCAAAGAGGAAAACATTATAAACCATCAGAACCAGTGAGCATATTAACTTACATATTAAGCAAGAAACAAAAGCAAACGTGATACTTGCCTAGCAAAAATCATTGCTAATCTTCAAGGAATGAAAAAAAAAGAAATACTAATGAAGCTGAGGCTGGTGCTAAAAGGATAGGTGATGAGGGGATGCAGTTAGCACTAAACTACTGTACAAGTATAAGAGAAAAAAATCAACTATTAGGAGTTAGACAGGGGTGTGTATTGAACCCAATTCTCTTCTCCTTTTTTGGATGATTTGTCTAAAGCTATGAAAAGCAGGGCCTAAGTTACAATTATGAAAGTCATTATGTCAGTAGAGAAGTTGGTGCTATATAGAAAGTTAAATTGAGATCATCAATAGGTTTTAATACTTTACTAAGTAGTAAATTAAGTACTTTTACTTACAGACATAATAATAATAAAAATAATAACAGAAATAATAATGATAAATGACAACACTGCTGACCAACGAAAACCATGATCAACAGCATATACCCTATACAGACTATGTTACAAGACAGTCCCTCATGGAAGGTGACACATTGCTGAAAGTGTTAGAGTAGTTCAACAAACCCACGAGTGAAGACCCATTAAGTGCTGAGTGAATGAGTTTGCCAACTCACAGACCAACACACTCCATCAACTCTGTTGATAAATATCCGTAAGATGTTCCATCCTCGTCTTGACGTTTCTCTTTCAAATTTCAACATCAATATACTTTAAATACTTTTTATTTATCAATCTGTTATGGGTTATAACTACTATATAACATTGTAAATTATTAAATGTAAAAAAATAGTGCAATTTTTCTAAAACTTAGAACATTTAAAAAAATCTAAATGTTATTTCAATACAGTAGTAATTATTTTACATTAGTCAGCTTCTGATTATCAAACTGTAACTGGTAAATGATTGTAGTAAGCATGTCTTACATGTTTACTTGGAAAAAAATGAAAAACCTTTTTATTGAAAAGTCATTTAGGAATAGAATGCATTTATAAATTTCTTTTGATGCGGTCAACTTTTATTATTTGCATGAAATAATAAATCGAGCTTCTTGAATAATGCTGAAAGATTAATATGCATACATGACATCGTAAATTGTATAGAAACAAAATCATTTTCTCTCAAAGTGTTTTATGTTTAAAACAATTGTATATGGACATTATGATCTGAATTAATCGGTAATACCAAATGGTATACCATTGTCTAATGGATGCATTAAAAATTGTTGATCTCATATATCTTTGAGATTGATTTGTTCTTAATACCTTTTATATGTTGTACATAGCTCTCTCTCTCGCTCTCTCTCTCTCTCTCTCTCTCTCTCTCTCTCTCTCTCTCTCTCTCTCTCTCTCTCTCTCTCTCTCTCTCTCTCTCTCTCCCATTCCCTCTTAAAGAAGTTGATAGTGTATTTTATTTTACAATGAAATGATATGGAAAACATTTTCTTTCAGGGATTTAAGGCACGATTTAACAAAGCAAAATGTGATTATTAGAACATATTTGTTGTGTAGTTTTAAGGTTTTTAATTTTTTTATTTGCTCTATATTGAACCAGTCTGTGTTGTGAAAATAAATTATAATTTTGGTACAGAGGATTTAAAAGTAAAATCATTTTCTTTTATCGATCTATTGTAAATTTTACCTACTTTTAAATTAAGCTAACCGTGACATTTTATCTTTCTTTATTCACATTCATTCTGCATGAAATATTAGATGGGTGAACATTATCGTATTTGTTAAAAAGGCAAAAATGTTACATTTAAATCTTAACACACCTTTAAGTACTTTCAGGGTCTTCTGTAACATTTTCTTCTAACAGTTTCATTACAAATGTGTGACAAACCTCGTAGTACAAAAAAGTCTTTAAATTAAAGTTAGTACTAAATCGTTTTAACTACTTTAAAACACTGACTCAACAATTGCTGTCAACATGTTAAAACAAAATTTATTGTACCAAACTAAAATAGTAATTACAAACTACCAAAATTTACTACAAGTCGTTAATAATTTTTAATTTATTTGTTTAACAACAAGGTTAATCCTACTTTTACCTACTCTAAAAAAATTTCGATCCAAAATTTATGGCCAAATATAATTTTTTTGTTGTGCGAGATAAATATTAGCCAAAATGTTTCAAATGTTGCTCAAAATATTAAGGTAAAAATTATGTTTTATGTTTTACTAGAGCTTAAACTTGTCTTTGAAATACAAAAATATATTTTTAAACAATGTTAACAAATTTAAAGTGTAAAAATACTATATTATTCTTGTTATGTATATACATTATACATTGTATATCTTTTATATATACATTCATCTATGTATATGCGTTGATATTCAGTGCATAAAACTTTTATGTTATGGATGTTTTTGTTATGATTGTTGTTTTATGTAAGTTTATGTGATCACCAAATGTTATAAATAAATAAAACCATTAAGCTAACAACACATTTTATTATATTATTAAATTAAGAATACTAAATGCATAAAACTGCATTTACCCAAAATCTCAAAAACCTGGGAAAACCCAACGCCTGACAATAGAGTTGAATGCCTGAACTCAAAGGAGTTCTGGGTGATAAACATTGAGACATACCGCCCTAAGTAGGATCTGCAAAACAATATATAGGCCCAGAATCTAAAATTGGGATCAAACATAGAAATCCTGAATCCCAGAATGAGTCAAAACAAAACAAAAATGAGTATGACCAACAAAAACGGTGACCTCTAGAAGTGCCAGCCGTTGTAAACTCGAGATTAAAGAACCCTTACCAAAACATCTCCAAAACATTAAAGGTGCACAATGTTAATTCTTTCAGACAGCCAGGCAGTTCTAAAGACTCTTTAACCCTACAAGTTCACTCAAAAATTGTCGAAAACTGCCTAAAGTCCCTGAAAAACTGGGATCATTGAACCAGAATCCTGATTCAGTTGTGGTTGCTTTCCAGTAATTCCATTGTAAGTTTTGCGGAAGGCCCATCTATGAATCTCTTTGTATGCCTCATGCCTGTGGTATTGTTACACCAGGTTTTGGACTTGTAACCACACCATTTTAAGATGTATCCTCTTTTGTGGCAGGATGCTAAGCCACAGTAGGGTTCAGGGCCTAGAGAATCCATGAATGGCCCCCCTCTTTGGCAACACGTCAAATCTTCTGGGAACGTATTCCTTGCCTTTTTATTTACTGGGCGCAGTGTTCAATCACAATGCTTTCAGAATGGAAAACTGTAGCATATTTACCTAGGTTTATCGTCAGTTTGGTCTTTGGATTCATCTCGAAGACTCCAGCTCCCATGCCCTTGTCGGTTTTGGAGCTGTCATTGTACTAATAGGAGTTCCTTTGGCCTATTCTTCTCGTTCTGGTATCAGTACCTTGTAATTTTTAGTAAAATTGTATTTTGGAATATTGTCATCGATTGGCATGCCGAATATGGCATCTGCCTGTATCTTCTTCCTCAGTTTCCATTATTTATTTACATGTCCTATCCTTGCAGATAGTTGTCCATTTATGAGTCTGTGGGCTGCTGCTCTGGCTTCTCCTTGGATTAAAATATGAAGTGGTGGGAGGTTTAACAACACCTCCATGGCCATAGTTGGCGTGGGGCATCCAGTGACACTGAAACAAGCTTGTCTTTGGTTGCCGCTTGATAACCAGATTGCTTTGGCCTGCAGAGTCTTGGTCCACCACACCACAGACCCATATATCAACATTGGTCTTAAGACACAGGTGTATAGGCTCTCATTGTGGGGTTTAATCCCCAGTTTTTGGCGCACAGCCTTCTGCATCTCCCCCAGGCAATTTTGGCTCTCTTGGTGGTTTTAATTAAATGTGGATTCCATGTTAGCCGCTGTTCTAGTGTGATCCCTAAATATTTGGCCTCCTTGGAAAATGGGATCAGTGTCCCGTTTAGACTTGGAGTTTTTCGGGTTCCTATTATCCTCTTCCTTGTGAATGGAATCATTATGGTTTTGTGGGAATTAATAGAGAGCTCCTCCTCCTGAGTGTTCAAGAGAGATTGTTTCTTCTTCTGTTTGTGAAGCTTCCATCTGTCTTTGTGAAGAAGCATACCTGCCTCCTGTACCATTTTCAGATTTTTTTGTTGTGGTCAATGTATTTCTGCATGTATCCCACTCATTATGGGCCGTGGCTCAGTTGAATAAAGTTCTTACTTGAGCTCTCAATCCTTCTAAGTGTTTGTTCCACCAGCCTATTTTAAGTTTATTTAGTCTTCTTTTTTCGTGCAGTTTCCGGTGTAGGAGCCAAGTGTGGTGTTGGTTACCTCCTGTAAGTATTGTTGGAGGGTTCTTTTGTATCCTATCCAATTGGTATTCCTGAGGTTACTGTATGTTGTTCAGAATTTGAAGCTTTCCTGGATACATTCCAGTAGTTTAAGATATTTTTATCAGCCATTTGGGAAGTAATTGTCAGGTCTAAGACTTCTTGCCTGCATCAGGTGATGAAGGTGGGTTCTGTGCCTAAGTTAGCAATGTTTGACCCTTCACCTAGGATGTACTTCCCCATATAATGTGGTGAGCATTTGATTCATATCCTATGACTATTTCGTGTTTTGTTCCCTGGAGTACCTCATAATCTTGTCCAGCAACTTGGATGGGCCTCCTCTCTCGGGAAGTAGGCCGAACAGGTAAGCTATCTTCTTTCCCCGCCCCAGACTTTGCTGTGAGGATTGCTGTACCAAGTCACCGGAACATGGTATGGTATGGTATGGTATGGTATGGTATGGTAGAAAAGGATACCAGGAAGCGGGGTTTGCACTCCCCGGGCACTGCAGCCTTCTGGCTTATTGTACCTTCCCAGTTCCCTAGTTTAGTCAATAGACTCAATCCTTCTTCTCAGAAGCATCAAGTCATTGACTGTTATTGCTGCAATTTGGTTCCCTNCCTGTGCCATTCATCCATCGGCACGGATCGCATAACACCTTGGATTTGGGCTGGAGAGTGGGGCTAGGATAGGGTGTAGGGTGGGAAGAGGGGTAAGGTGTTGGGTTTAGGATTAGGAGGTGTCAGGTCCAGCTCCTGTCCCTCCATACCCCTCTTTCCGTTTGTTAGATAACAGGGTACACCCGCATAAGCTTCGTGAAGGTGGAAAGTCGGAGTTGGGTATTAGAGGCTATTGGAGGCGCATAGTACCCGTTCGTACCCCACCGGAACATAGTTCCGGTATTAGTGTGCAGCTAATTCTTGCATTAAACACTATACAAGCCCGGGGTCTTGTTGATTTTCTCTGGTATATTACCTGTGTCTGTTGTGGTTTTATTCCCCTCACAGTCCTGTTGTGTACCCAAGGTTCTTGGACCAGAGCAACATCCAGGTCCTCCCTGTCAAACCTCTTGCATGCTGGAGGTTGACCTGAAGTACACTTATTCCTCCCTGTTCTATCATTGGGCTGAAGTGGAATTTGTATCCCTATGTGGGATGCCTTCCTCCATTCGCTCTATCCGCTGCTAGACTTGAATCCTTTTGAGTGGGCTCATATAATCAATCCCCTCCCTGCTTTTTAACTTGAAGGGAACGTATTTCTGTTTGGCACTACTGCCTGGTTGGGTTGACCTGTCCTGGGTGTTTGGTTTTCCTTTAATGGGCGCCATGTATGTAGTTCCCACAAGTAGCTAGGGTTGTAAGATGTCAGCCCCAGTGAGCCCTGCATGCTGGAATAAGCCTTGATACAACAGGGTATTGGCTGGTTCTCTGAAAGCTCCATGTCAGATACTATTTTTTATTACCTCATCATGTCATTTATTCTTCATCACGGTTCACATTACAACTTGGATTAGGGTCGTCATTGGACCCTTTTAACCTTCCTCGATGCACCAGCTCTCTCCCTGTGGGGTGCTGGCAGCATTGAGGTGTTTGCCAGGGTGCACTGCATGGAAGTCAGAATTGGTCTTATGCCCCCCCCCCATCCTTATCCACTATCCTTAACCTGATTAAGGATAGGCCATGCAAGGTTGACCAACAGACACTTACTTTTGGGCCAAAGCTCGCATTCAGAGAAGGATGCTTGTTGTGTTCCACTTAATTGAAGGGTGCCATTCCTTGGCACCATGTAGAGAGCATGTAGCATTTATGNTATATATAAAGTACTATATAGAGTAAAATGGTTTTGTTTCCTCTAAAAATAGGAACAGAAGACCCAAGAGACCGCCCACACTGTCATGCTCCAGCATAATTCTCATAATGGGATAATGGGTTCCTATCATTTTGTGTTTCTTTCAGTTTATTGAGATTGATTGTATTTATTAGTGTGCGAGGGCCAGGAATGGAATATTGAGTACCCCATCTGCCATAAATTAGATTTGATGTAATTTGTGGGTATATGTGATGATATATAATATATTGGTCATTCACCCTGCAGACCACAGGAAGATATCAAGTTTAAAAAACTACATGAATTAAAATATGGATACACTTGAAAACCTGTAAATGTACAAACAGAACATAAACAAAAAATCCTTGGAATCAAAAATTGTAATTTAGTCATTACCGATCATTTTGGCCTGCCTTTCCTCTGTGTTGTCAATTGAACTATTGTCTGAGCTTAGACGGCAAGCAAACCTCTCACAATAGTGTGAAGAATAAAAAAAATGTGTTGAGTTCATATCCGACAAACATGGACATCAAGAAGTACTCCACCTGAGTGAAAAAAATGTAAACAGGGAATGGGTCAAATGAACTAACTGTTGGTAGCCCCTGGAACCCAACCTCATTGGCTGGAATGCCAACATCCGAGGTGTGTCTCTTGAGGCTTGTCGGTTATTTATTGTCAGTTACACAAAAGCAGGAATTGCCTGTGAGTTGCAAGAAATGTTTGGCTCAACTCTGTACATGTGTTGCAGATTTGAGCATATATAAATCAATAATCAATCAATTTTGAAGCTTAGTTGTGAAGGGAAGTATGTCCAAAAGAATGGTTCACACATACAAAAATTTGTGTAATATAATACTTAGAATGATCATCGCACATCCTTACACATTTAACTTAAGAAAGTTTTATTTTTTTTTCTGAAAGACATAACATTCTTCAGGGCTGAGTTAGACAAAATACTCATAGGAAAATTATAATTTACAGAATAATAAAAAAATGTTGGGCACAAAATTTTATATTCGCCAACAGTATTAAACACTGCCAAAAATGTACATTACAGTAGAAAATACTCAAGTGAGCACCATACATTAACAATATTTATATATTCTTAAAAATGATTACGTATTTTTGTTATAAATTTACAATTTGTGCTTGGCAGATGTGCAATTAAAATTGTTATATATACATACATAATTTGAAGCATATATATATATAAGTACGTTTTGAAACCACATAACGCACAACTAATATATTTGTACAATTTGTGCTAGAGATTTCCAAACCAAACACTTACAAATTAAAATTAACAAAAAAAAACCATTATATTACAAATAGTGAATATCAATTTAAAGCACATCTCTTATAATAAAAAACAGAATTAACATTTTATCAATCCAAAAGTCAGTCTGTTCACAATTTGCAAATAACCAACCAGCGGTATATAGACACAATTATTTCGATGATTTTCCATTTTATTTCCTCAAAATTTGTACTAAGTGCAGCACATCAAATTTATGTCAACATAAAGGGTTTTTTTTGTTGTACTACTAAAACAGAAAAACGAAAATATTGCCTACTTCATCGTCCCAAGTAATAAAAACTGTAAAATAAAAATTGAGTGGATGGATAAATTAATTGACATATAAAATGAAACAGTTAGCACATTTAAAGAGTCACTTCTTTAATTATTTTTTCTTACAATGAGCTATAACATAAATCACAGTTAATAAAAGTGGATCAATGTTACACAAACCTCTTACAAAAAGGTTCACTACTCATAGAAGAAATTGCTTATTAAAACGAGAAAACACTACACATTGAAAGTAATGAAAATGTACTTCTTCAAAAGCTATCAAACATAGAAACAATTTGTTGCTTGAGTGAAATTTTTGTTTTCAAACATCTCGAAAAATCACTAGCCAGCACTAGAACTATTGAAATCAAGGGAAACATTCATTTTACACTTCTTGCATACAATTAAGATGTGATAAATACATACTAATGTAGGTAAAAATGAATCTACATGTTAAAAAAATATCAAAATATTTTAATAAAATTTGAAGTAAAGTTACATATTTTTAAAACAAAACTTACTAAAATGTCAATTTTTTAAAACAACTGTGTAAAGAATCATTATCAAGAAATGCTTCATTTTCATAATTTATTAGTATTATATACATATGCGTCATACTGGTTTAAAAAAAGGGTCATTGCCCAAAATGACATAGAAATTACAACTTATTGCAGTGAATATAATACACTATCAAAAAACTATCACATTCTGATTATTGCATTGGTTACATATAGTAAAACGGAAAATATCGGTTTTCACTGGCATCAACAATTTATTCAAAATAGAAAAACTATTCAATGAAATAAACCTAGTAAATCTCTTTCATTCTTTCAAAATCCCTACTGTAAACAATTACTATGTTTACAACTGAATATAAAATACAATCTTTCATTTTAAAATGTCAATTCTTACAAATGTTACCAATATACTTTTCATGGAAATTTCTACAAATGACCAAAATGTTAGACGTTAAAACATCAATGCCAAATTTTGAAATGTAATAAATTTTCTTCTAAGTTAAAAGAGGAAAAGTAAACAGTGGCGGAATTGAAAGTTTAAACAAACAAAAAAATCCCAACACTTAAGCATTTTTTGTCAACATGTGATTTTATCGCCAAGTGTGTACATTTTTGTTGTTTTGATCCCTTATAAAAGTTCAAGAATTTTATTGCACCATTATATCGCTGATTATATTATAAATGCAAATTTGCACACTCCGTTCAATGGAACCCCCTCCCCAACACTGTGTAATTCGATACTTACCGTTCATCTTGGTCTGCCTATCCTCACAAAAACGCCGAGGCGCTGGTGAAGACAGGCACACTGAGATGATAATATCAAATTACAACTGTTCACTGTGCATACACCCGAACAGGATGAAACAATTTAAGATTTTTATATTGTATATTAAAGCTCACCTTGAATCAAAAATATCTTTAATATATCAATGTGATGTAATTAAACGTAGAAGTTCAAAAAGTGTTGTTTATTTTGATAATTTGACCAACAAAGCGAAATAAATAAATAAATACAATAAATAATGAATGAAGCACCCCAATTTTGCAAAAGCAAAATGATATATCTATTACAGAAAAATAATAATTTCAGTATATTTAAAAAAAAAAAGAACTACCACTTATAAAACATAGATAAAAAATATTTGATATTTTACTTTTTGATAGTTAATAATAATTTTTATATTACAAAACATTTAAATTTTGCAAAATAACCTATGTTGGGGAAAAAAATTAAGAAGTCATTTCAAAACAATTAAGAGGTGTTAAATGGTAGGCTGTTCTTGTAAACCAGTTTTACATACTAAAGCCTGTCTGCATTTTTCATAAAGAGAAACAATGTAACAACCTTGTTATTAAAAACTCCTAATAAGAATAATAATAATTTTATTGATACTTAGGACTTATAAACACATAATTAAATCAATAAAAAAAGAAGTGATTTACTCTTATTTCCATTTCTTCAGAATTAAAAAATAACAAACATAAATACATCTTTAGTGCTAAGTTCTTATCTAATCATCTGTTTATCAACACAACCTTGTTTTCATTACTTATTAAGACAATCATTTCTGACAAGCAAGCGATGTAATAAAAACAATACAAACAACATAAACTTTGTTTAATTAAAATTAAAAAGAAGCTAATAAGTTGAAAATACCTAAACCTCAACGTAATTTATATCCTGGGAATGATGCAATTGGTCTAAACAAATGAAAAAAATTTAATAGTCACAATTAATGACAATTATAAATGCTGAAGAAAAAAAAAATCAACTTAATGTACTTGTCAATTTTTTTATGTTCTACCCAAGAATTTAGCTAAGGTTAAAAAATAAATTAGAAAAATGATACCTATGTACAAACTTACAATGGGTATTTTTTTTTTTTTTTTTTTATCTTACACTATATTTAATGCTATTAGATTGAACACCAAGGATATTTGAAAAAACATTACAGACAATACACTGAAGAAATAAAATGCAACACTGGAAAAAAATGAAGAATGACCTAGCAGATTTGGACATGCAGAGAGAAAGACCAGTTTTATAAATAATGTCTCGTTAAGTATCAAATAATTTTTGATTACAACAAGCTGAATTTTAGGCACACATTTTGTACAATATCACGTTTTCCCGGGCTTTTTTTAAATTAATAATTTTGTACATGATATACAGTAGGGAAATTAATAAATTAATTTACCGATTTGCCTAAAGATATACACAAACAGTGAGCTATTAAATTTCTACAGATATAATTACTAAAATAAACTATAAAAATCACATTTGTACTAAAAAAAGAGACCAAAAGGCATTACTTTTAAATTTAAAGACAAATTTTACTAGTTAATAATGAAATTTACCATTATATAAAAAGCGATATTGGGTATATATGTTGCTCAGTACCACATAAATGTAGATCTAACATTTATCAAAATTCGAAATAAAATGAATATACATTACACATTTCACTTAGGTAAAAATGTAAATTTTCCGAACCGATCGTTAACTATCCAGTAATGCCTTTAATCCTTTATACCAAACTATTCGAAGGCCAAAAAATGTGAATTAGCCTCTTGCAAAAAAGAGGAAATGTATTACAATTATACATTGTATATGCCAGTCTTCACAGAAGAAAATAATGAGGCATTATAGCTGTTGTATAACATATTTATGACCTGTCACAATTCATTCGAACAATTGCTATATACTGGTGGCAGTTCCGGCATTCATCTTTGTCTTTATATAGGCATAACCAATCAAGTTTTTTTTAAAAATAACAAATCATGGATAGTTTAATTTACTATATCCGATTAATTCAGACTTCAATGTACAGATTAGATTATAGAATATAATAAAAAAACTTCACAAAATAGAAAAAAAAAGAAAAGCAAAGGAAGAAAGGATAAATAAAAAATACAACAGTCAGTACAAATGTTAAAAAATACAACAGTCAATACAAAGGTTATCAAAGTACTTTTTTCAAACTGCTCCTATTTTCCTACTTACAGTTAAATATAAATAAAAATGGAACATATATTTACAAATTATACGACACCAAAATTAAATTCTTCCATCCACTCAATTCTTCATTTCTTCTGCTTTTCAATGTGGCGGGCGCATGGATTCCCGCCACATTTCGCTCTGTCATTCTAGTACAACCACCATATCTTCCATGCCTTTTGCTGACAACTTCCTCCATGGTTTCCTGGCCGCTCTTCTCAACTGAATTCCAGTCAACTGACGCCTCACTTTCCTAAAGGCAAATAATTCATGTAAATAAAAATCTTAGCATTTGTTTCAAAAATTAACCCAATGGCTAGCCGTAAGTAAAAACATTATAGTCACTCTAAAAAGAAAAAAAGGGGCATTTGAAAATTTTGTTGAATTAATCAAGAAACCCAAAGAACATACAATATTGACAGCTTAAAGTAAAGAGTTTAACACTATGATGGATCAGATGGGTCCAGAGATTTGCATACACTTTTCTATTGCATAAGCATTATACATATTTATTGAAGAAATTATATTTTTTAGTGAATTGAATTTTCAATTATTCTTTTAGAGATCAATGTTATTATATTTTACTTATAAAATAACATAATCTTTTTTTTTTTTCGTTATGAACTATGCGTATTAGCCATGTGACAATTTGGGGGGGGTTATTGTGAAAAAAGGGCCAGAGGCGACGGTGGGAATCGAACCCACGACCGCAGCGTAAGAGTCTCTCATGCTAACCACTCGGCTACCGCGGTCCCCA